TATAGCTCTGGTGAATTTCAATGGTGAAGTCCTCTGGAAATCTTCAATAATTGTTGTTGATTGCAGATGTGTCTAGTAGTTCCCATTGATTTTCGTTTTGTATACAAAATGACAGTAGAAGTTGTCTTAGTCTAAGTATGAAAAAAACATGAAACCTGGAACCGATCACATAATCTAAAACCACAAGTTTATTAAAAATGTTTAATTATGTTCAAATAACATTAATCTATAAATAGTGTAGAATAATTACATTAGAAAACGAGAATGTTTGGTCATTATGGTCAAACTGGGAACCATTATGAAGACCAAATAAACTGCAGAGAGGCTAAGGAGAATGATCTACAGAAGATTAAATCAGGATTAGGTTTTATATTATATTTGATATTTTGTTTTTTTCTCTTCCATAAAATCTGTAAAGTCTAAAGTTTGTGGCAAAGCTATGAATATTTATGCAACTGCAAACTGCAGCAAGAGCAATAAAAATCCAGTGACTCAAACATGTTGATAATTTGTTAAAAAAAAGTTTATTGGATAAATACAAAAATAAATAAAAAAATCTATTTACAAAATATACATGACTGTTATTTACTGTTAAAAAATCCTAAACACAAATTTACAAAAGTTTCCAAAACAACTTTGTTATTTTTTTTTTACACATTATTGTTTAACTGTCATCAAGAGCTGAGTCATCATCATTAAAAGGTCAATTATTTTTCATTAACAGCTGAGTAATGGTTTTTAAAGGGACAAGAGAGTAATCTTCATAAACAGGCAAGTCAATGTCATTAAAAACAGATCATAGAAAAGATGTCAGGATGTCAGAAACACCTGAGTCCAAGTGAAAGAAGTGGTTTTGGTGTAAAATAAAGCTGTTAGAAAAAAGCTGAGTCATTGTCATTATTAAAGTCATCTAAAAGATTTCAGTATAAAATAGAGCTGCTGTCAGGATAAGCTCAATCCATGTCACAAACACACGAGTCACCATCAGAAACAACCAAGTCATTGTTACAAATAGCTGAGTCATCGTCAGAAATAGCCGAGTCTTCGTCGAAAAAAACACCTGAGTCAGTGTCAGAAACAGCTGAGTCGTCGTCAGAATCAGGCGAGTCAGTGTCACAAACACCTGAGTCAGTGTCAGAAACAGCTGAGTCGTCATCGGAATCAGGCGAGTCATGTGTCACAAACACCTGAGTCAGTGTCAGGAACAGCTGAGTCGTCTTCAGGAAAAAGCTGAGTCATTGTCATTGTCACAAACACCTGAGTCAGTGTCAGGAACAGCTGAGTCGTCATCAGAATCAGGCGAGTCATGTGTCACAAACACCTGAGTCAGTGTCAGGAACAGCTGAGTCGTCTTCAGAAAAAGCTGAGTCATTGTCATTGTCACAAACACCTGAGTCAGGGTCAGGAACAGCTGAGTCATCTACAGAAAAAGCTGAGTCATTGTTACAAACAGTAACAAATGTCAACAAATGGTATAAAAGATGTCAGAATAACATAGATGTGCTGTCAGGAATATTTGAATCGTTGTCAGAAACGGACGAGTCATTAATGGAAATCTCATGCTCCAGTTTCGTCTTTAACTGGACACGATGGGCCTACACCGTCCTCCTCCCGTTGTCTGTCCCATCAAATGGACAATGTCTTCTTTAGTCTGGCCTCAAAAGACTGGAACAGCCTGTCTGGGGTCGACGGCATCTTTATCGACCTGAAGACCACGAGAAGATCAGAGATTAGACACGATGTTCGTCTGACCGTTCGCCACCAAAAGTGGTGACAGACTGACCCAGACCAGGGGGGTTGGGCTGTCTCACCTCACTGTAGGCGGGGGGAGGGGGAGGGTAGCCAGCTGCACTAATTGTCATGAAGAGCCCTCCGTCTTCATCATCATCCTCTGCGCCGTCATAGTCGTGCAGCAGCGGCGTGCGCGGGCCATCCACCTTCAGGTCTCTGGCAATATTGCTGTAGCTGGGAGGAGCCGAGCGGATGGAGGCCCAGCTGCTGGAAGCCTGGCTGCTCATGCTGCTGGTTCTGCTGCCGACGCCGCTGAACGGGATGGTTCCAATGACCAGAGGAAGCTCCAAGATCAGCTTTTCACTGCCGGGGATGTGCAGGTAGATCTGGACAAGACAGAGTGAGACAAATGTTACCTCAATGTTCTCCTCTTGTTGCTTCTGAACTTGATGATCTTCACCAGGTTATTTTTTTGACATCATCAGTTACATTTCACTTTAGTCCTTCATGTTTCAGATGGATGCCATTAAGAAGATGAATAAACAAACGTCATCTGCATAAAGGCCTCATTTAATAGACAAACCAGATCTAGATGGTCTGATTTCTCTCTATATTTTGAGTCTTTGAGGACATAAATCAGCCTCTTCAATTAAACACCTAAAGTCACCGCACTGAATGCCTCACCGAAGACGCCATAATGACTTACCATGAGGGCATAGTCCACCTTGATGATGTCACAACCCAGCAGCGTGGGCCTCAGTTTGGGGACTCTGATGGTCCTCCCCTGCCACATGTCACACATGCCGGAGATGATGGGGTTCCCTCGGACTGCTGTCAGTTTCTGCCGCATGACCTGTTGAGGAACCAAGAGTTGAAAGCTGCAGCGGGGCCCCGAACGTCCCGGACGGTCCGACCACGGCGAATGCTCACCTTGGTTTGGTTGTTGATGCTGTATGAGTGTTTGGCGATGATGGCAGCCTTCGGCACCACGATTCGAGAACAGGTGTTCTCGAACTTCGCGTTGATGTTGATCTCTTCGCCCTCGCAGAAACCTTTTCTGTCAATCCGCGCTGAGATGGAGACTTGGCCGTCAGGGATGAACATGCAGGTGACCTTCTTCTGTTTAGACGCGGCCGCCGGAGCCTGGAAGAGAAGGCTCAGGGTCAAGATCAGCATCAGGTTGTTCCTTCTTTCTACTCAGGTTTCCGGGATTATTAGAACTGATGAGTTTCTAAAGTTGGACTCAATCATAATCAGCTTTAGTCAGTCTATTGTTCTGTTTGAAGCTGAAAACTTTGACATCTTCCCAGTGAACTAAAGCTTCAGTTTTCTACCTAACTTGTTGCAGGGGCCGAGCTAGATGGGGGGCCAGGGGTGGCCATGGCCACATTTAGCCAATCAATGTCCGCCCCTACAATTTTTTTCCTTGTAATACAGGCGATGGCAGCAGTAATCTCATAAAACATTTCAATTTTTCATATATTACTTGCTATTTTTTCATATATTCATAATTACTTGTAAACAAAAACATATATCATAGACAAATAACAATTTTGATAATAAAAACATGTTAAATAATCAATTTATGTAGATATTAGTACTTGAAAATATAAATTTTATGCAGAATGATTATTGATAAAAGTAAGTAAGTAATGAAAATGGAAAATATGTCTATTTGTTAGTAAGGTTGTAAACTGGAAAATACTAAATAATCGCTATCTAGATAAGTTATTTTTTTCTTAAAAATAAGTGCATTTGTTCTCGGATTTGGGAGGTAAAAGATGCATTTTGCCAATGGAACGAGACAATTTACACTTAAAATAAGAAAACATGATTGCATTGTCCTTTTTCAAGTGCATATTATCTAATTATCTTATTTTAAGAGAAAAATACTCATTCCATTGGCAAACTATCTCATTTACCTGCTCAAATTAAGGGTAAATACACTTAATTTAAGACATTTTTACTTATTTATAGATCTAGAAATAAGTAAAGATTTCTTAAATTAAGTGTATTTGCCCTTAATTTGAGTAGGTAAGTAAGAGGATTTGCCAATGGAATGAGTATTTCTACTCTTAAAAAAAGATAATTAGATAAAATTCACTTGAAATAAAAAAAATGCAATTATTTTTTTCTTATTTTAAATGTAAATTGTCTTGTTCCATTGGCAAAGTGTTTAATTTACCTCCTCAATTCAAGAAAAAATGCACTGATTTTAAGAAAAATTGGCTTATTAAGATTGACATTTTTTGCAGTGTATATTTTGCTTATTAATTTTCCTGTTGGAACAGTGTAGATTAACCCTCAGTGTACATTGGTTATTGCCTGGCCACCCTTACAGTATAAATGGTTGTGATTCTGTCACTGAGGTTCGTACCAGCAGGTCGGGTTGGTTGACATCCAACGGCTCTTCTACTTCAAACTCCTGCTCGCACTGCAGAGCCTGTTGGGAAGGTCGCTGCAGCTCCGCCCTCACGTAATAACGCACAGATCCAAACTTCCCTTTGAAGGACGACACAAGGCGCCTGCAGCAGAAGCCAGCAGGGTCAGCTAAATCATGCACAGGTAACAGGAGAAGAGATTAACCTGAAGGGATCAGAGACTCACCCTGGAGGAGGAAGCTCGAAGCCAAACTGAAAGCTGAAGGACTTCCCAGCAGGAAGCAGGAAGCAGCCGTCAGAATCTGAGATAAAGAGGGACATAAGCAGAGACTAAGCAGTTTGGAAGACGGACTGAAAGCGTCTCCGTGACCCAACACAGCACAGTCCACATGCACTGCAAATATTATCTTAAAATAAGTGACTTTACCCTTAATTTGAGAGGGTAAATAAGATGATCTGCCAATGGAATTAGTAAGTTTCGCCTTAGAATAAGATAATTAGATATTATGCACTTGATATAAGAGACTGCAGTTGTTTATTTCTTATTTTAAAATGTTAATTGTCTTGTTCAATTGTCAAAAAGTCACAATTACCTGCTCATTTCAAGAGAAAATGCACTTAATTTAAGAAAAACTGACTTAATTAGACTTATTTTTTGCAGTGTATGGATCGGGACGAATGAAACTACACTGCAAAAAATGGAAATCTAATTAAGCAATTTTTACTTAAAATAAGTGCATTTTTTCTCCAATTCAGTACGAAAGTGAGACACTTTGCCAATGGAACAAGACAATTTACATTTAAAAGAAGAAAAAACAATTGCATTGTCTTATTTTAAGTTCATATTATCTAATTATTTTATTTTAAGAGTAAAGATACTAATTTCATTGGCAAATCATTGTGTTTACCCACTTAAATTAAGGGTAAATACACTTAATTTAAGAAATTTTTACTTATTTCTAGATCATTTTTGTAGTGTAGAACTATGGTAAATGTAACAGTCCCAAAGCCTGACCAATCTCTGACTGCTGCTCTACATTCCTTCATATAACCTTCTATATTTCAATAAATCCAGCAGGTTCTGATGGACAGATTCATCCAGCTGCAGAAACTTCCTCACCTGGGTTCAGAAACTCCTCCAGCCGAATGTCTTCCTCATACTTGAGGTACTCCACCTCCTGGCTGCGGCCCCGGTTCTCCACCCGGGCACACCCGGCGGCGGTGACCCTGAGGCTGGTCAGCCTGCAGGGGGGGCCCGCTTCCAGCTGGACAAAACCGGACAGTTTGTCTCCGCTGCAGTAGAAGGTCCGGCTTGGGTCAGAGAAGAGGAGCCGGAACACCCGGGGCTTGTTGGCTGAGGACAGAACCATGGTACCAACAGAAAGGAGACGTTCAGTGAAAATGAACCGTATCAGTGAAGCTCAACCTGATCAATCAGAACAATCAGAAGAGTTTAATAAGTCTGGATGTTTTTCTCGGGCACTGAGGCAGCTCTGCTTTATACCCAAGAGGGGAGGGGGGGGGCAGGGTTCTGTTACCTCCACTCTGAGCAGCACGTGCACACTGTGTGCACATGCCGAACCTTCAAAAACAGAGCCCTGTGATTGGTCAGGCCGGACGGTCAGCCAATCTGAGCTCAGAGAGCCCGCATGGACAGCAGCTGGACTGACGGGGGCGGAGCCTGGAGGGTCATTAGAGTGAGAATAGAAACAGATCTACTGTAATAGAAACAGTTTTACTGTAAACAACAGCTGCAGCCATTCAGAACATTCAGAACAGATCCAAACAAAACAAAACAAATAATCAGAGGCCAAAGAAAAGCACGTAAACACCAGGAGGCAGAAGAAACTGGTTCATAGTTCACTGTTCACCAGTTGCAGGTGTTTAACCTCCAGATGTTTCCCAGCAGGTCAGTAGTTCTGAACCCGACCCAAACAGGGAGACGATGGATTAAAGAACTTTTTACAAATAAAAAACTAGAGCGATCCAATTATATTGACCTCTGACCTCTAAACTGAAGCAATTCAGCCTAACTGCAGAGGTTCTGCTTCTGGTCTCAGAAGTTCTTTAGAGAACATCCAGCATCAAATGACGCAGCAGTTAAAGTCATAGGGAAGTCATATTTAAATGTCAAATCATTCTGCCTTAAACATGTTTATAAATGTACTCTTTATCAGACAATATTGTCCCAAAAGTTAGAAAATTTCTATTTAAAAAAAAATCCTGTCTTAACATCTGTGTTTTTTCTCATTATCTTCTGCAGGCCAGTTAGTTCTACGTCAGCATGAACACCTAAATTCGGCCAATCATAAATAAACGGTCGTCTGTCAATCAAACCGGATGGTAATCATCAGCCATCATCTGAACACTGCCTTCTATCAAGACAAGCATCGACATCCAGCCAGATATGCAACAGAGGGTTTAGATTAAAGCAAATTCAAGGGTTAGAACGGCCTAGTCAAAGTTCAGACCTGGCAGTCTGTGGCAAACCAATGTTCAGCAATGCCTCAGGAGCTGGTCTTTCCATCTGGGTTGGTCATGTGGTGTTTTGGGAGTCTCAGCAGATACATGTACACCACATTTTTCAGTTTTTAATCCATTAATTACTTTCAAACCCCCTTTCATACAGGGGTATGAATATTTTTTTTTTCCTGGCCTCGTCTAAATGATAAAGGCTTTGGTAAACAGCTTGAGTTTTAAAGGACTTGTTTTTAAATCAGATCTGATTGTTCCTTATGTTCCTAACAGAGCACTTCGCTCTCAATCTGCAGGTTTACTAGTGGTTCCTAGAATTTCTAAAAGTAG